CTTATCTGCCATAATTGATTTGTTACAAGGAGCAAAATTGATCCTTTCGTACTTTATATGGCGTGTGGTGGGATGAATATTATGAAAAATTTCAAATTAGAAAAAAACAAGACTGCTCGTATCCGGGCGAAGCCCTGAATGTTTCGACTGCCTTTAAGCTTTGTGGAGCAGCAGTAATAACATTAAAAAAATAAATGAAATAAAATAAAATGAAATTTTTTTTTCTAAAAACTGGAATTTTTTATGAAAATCAACCCCCACACGACATATAAAGTACAAAAGAATAGATTTCGCTCCTAGTATTAAATCAATTATGGCAAATAAGCTTCGTTCAACCAATTTGGAATGACTTATAAGACGGATTAAATCTCCGCTTACGCGTTAATTGGTCAAATCTTTAAACCCTCATAACTTTACGAAAAATAATCACAGGTGAAATATCTGTTCAAATTTAAGCTCAAAACAACAATACCTTTTGAATGATATTAAAAAATTCCGTCAAAAATGGCTAGTTAAAAAGTCAAAATTTGTCTGAAGAAAAAAAACACACCCCGAGCACAAATATTCGTAACTTTCGTATCGAAAATCGGAACAAAAATTATTTTGTTCTATTGCATTTAATTTTTGAAGTTATTACTGCTCCATAAACCTTAAAAGGCAGTCGGAACATCCAGGGCTTCGCCCTGATACGATCAGTCTTGTTGTTCAGACTTTCGATACGAAAGTAACGGAATATTTGTGCTCGGGGTGGTTTTTTTTTCTTCAGGCAAATTTCGACTTTTTAACTAGCCATTTTGACGGTTCATTTTAATATCACTCGAAAGATATTGTTGTCTTGAGCTCAAATTTGAAAAGATATTTTACCTGTGATCATTTTTCGTGAAGGGGATTTAAAGATTGCCATTTTGGCCAATTTGGGACAATCAACGCGCGATATATTTCGCGCTGTTAACGCGTAAGCGAAGAGTTAATCCCTCTTAGAAATTGTTCCAAATTGGTTGAAAGGAGCTTATTTACCATAATTGATTTGTTAAAAGGAGCAAATTCTATCCTTTTGTTTTTTATATGGCGCGTGGTGGGATGATGTTCAAAAAAAATGTTTTATTTTGTTTTATTTCATTTATTTTTCAAATGTATTACTGCTCCATATACCTTAAAAGCCAGTCAGAACGTTCAGGGCTTTTTTCTGATGCGAGCACTTTATTTTAGACTTTTGTGCTCAAGAGGGAAAATTACAGATTAAAAGCTTTAAAAAATAATGTCAATTAAAGCTTTATTTTTGTTCAAAAACTGAGTTTTCAGATTAGGCGCATCGCATAGCGCGTAAATCAGCCAGTCGTGCGAATAAAATAAACAAGACTGCTCGTATCAGGGCGAAGCCTCAAATGTTCTGACTGCCTTTTAAATTTTCATGGAGCAGTAATAACATCAAAAATTATATGTAGTAAAATAAAAAGATTTCTTTTTTTCTAGATTTTGAATTTTTTTTGAAAATCATTACCCCACACGCCATTTAAAGTACACAAGGATAAATTTCGCTCCTTGTAACAAATCAATTCTGACAAATAAGCTTTTTTTCAACCAATTTGGAACCATTTTAAGACGGATTCAATCTCCGGTTACGCGTTAAAATATCTTCTCAACTTTAAGCTCAGGGCAATAATACCTTTCGAATGATATAAGAAAATTTCGTCAAAAACGGCTAGTTAAAAAGTCGAAATTTGTCTGAAGAAAAAAAAACCCACTTCGAACACAAATATTCCGTTACTTTCGTATCGAAAGTCGGAACAAAACTAAGAAATTACCTTTGATCGAGAGGCTTTTGCCTGATCAACAGTAATTTTTTTGTCCGATCAACAACAAAACAGAGTCTGTTTTCGGCATGATTTCCTTAAGACCTCAGTTATATTGATTCATGGTTACATTATTTTGATTTCAATGCATCAAACTCAAATCTAGTTTAAGATTACTTGAAACAGTTCTTGCCAAAACTATAGACCTTTTGTAAAAAAAACCATCCCCAGAATACTTTGAGCTGCCTGCAATTGAAGTATTCTTAGAGTCAAAAAGACGAAAAGCCTTTTATCCGAGGTTTTGAATAGCGGTCTCATGAGACCCGCACCGAAGTTTCATGTGTAATAACCGATTATAATGGATTTTCGTTGACTGAAATCGTTGTGCGGGATATAATTCGCCAGGCACAAATAATTCGCGTTACCTTCTAAGCATTCAAAAAACTGTTCAAAGCGAGCGTTATTTAGTCCAGAACATGGAAAATTTGGCAACTTTCAAACCCCCAGAACTTTACAAAAAATAATCTGGGGTGAAATATCATTTTACATTTGAACCCAAGAAGTCACTATCTTCAATTGGGTTTAAAACATTTTGTTGGAAATTGTTATTTCGATCGGTGAAAATTGACTGAATATAAAAAACATATTCGAGCATAAATATTCCGTATTCTTCGAAAGTCGGAACAAAAAAGCAGCTGTAGGACTAAAATTTGTTCTTTTTCTACCAATTATTGAAACCAGCCTTTAATAGAAAATGACCGCAAGCAGTACGACACAACCCAAGAATGGTGAAAGGGCCACGCTCCACATCTCGTATGTGCTATTCGTAGAATCTCCTTTTTTAAGCTCATAGTACCTTTCGAATGATATAGAAAAATTTCGTCAAAAATGGCTAGTTAAGAAATCGAAATTTGTCTGAAGAAAAAAACACTCCCCGAGCACAAATATTTCGTTACTTTCGCATCGAAAATCAGAACAAAAATCATTTTGTTCTAATGCATTTAATTTTTGAAAGTTATTACTGCTCCATAAACCTTAAAAGGCATTCGAAACATCCAGGGCTTCGCCCTGATACGATCAGTCTTGTTGTTCAGACTTTCGATACGAAAGTAACGGAATATTTGCGCTCGGGGTGGGTTTTTTTTCTTCAGACAAATTTCGACTTTTTAACTAGCCATTTTTTACGGAACATTTTAATATCACTCGAAAAATATTGTTGTCATGAGCTCAAATTTGAAAATTTATTTTACCTGTAATCATGTTTCGTTAAGTTAAGGGGGTTTAGATATTGCCATTTTGGCCAATTTGGGAAAATTAACGCGCGATATATTTCGCGCTGTTAACGCGTAAGCGAAGAGTTAATCCCTCTTAGAAATCGCTCCAAATTGGTTGAAAGGAGCTTAATTGCCATAATTGATTTGTTAAAAGGTGCAAATTCTATCCTTTTGTTTTTTATATGGCGTGTGAGGGGATGGTTTTCAAAAAAAAATTCAAATTTTAGAAGAAAAAAAATTTATTTTATTTTATTTCATTAAATTTTTTTAATGTACTACTGCTCCATATACCTTAAAAGGCAGTCAGAATGTTTCGGGGCTTTGTCCTGAAGCGAGCAGTTTTGTTAGATTTTTGTGCTCAAGAGGGAAAATTACAGATTAAAAGCTTAAAAAATAATGTCACTGAAAGCTATATTTTTGTTCAAAAACTGAGTTTTCAGATTAGGCGCATCGCATAGCGCGTAGATCAACCAGTCGTGCGAATAAAATAAACAAGACTACTCGTATCAGAACTAAGGCTCAAATGTTCTGACGGCCTTTTAAAGTTTCATGGAGCAGTAATAACATCAAAAAATTAAATGTAATAAAATAAAATGAATTTTTTTTTCTAGAATTTGGTTTTTTTTTGAAAATCATTACCCCACACGCCATTTAAATTACGAAAGGATAAATTTCGCTCCTTGTAACAAATCAATTCTGACAAATAAGCTTCTTTCAACCAATTTGGAACGATTTCAAGACGGATTCACTCTCCGGTTACGCGTTAAAATATCTTCTCAACTTTAAGCTCAGGATAACAATACCTTTCGAATGATATAGAAAAATTTCGTCAAAAATGGCTAATTAAGAAGTAGAAATTTGTCTGAAGAAAAAAAACCCACCCCGACCACAAATATTCCGTTACTTTCGTATCGAAAGTCGGAACAAAAAGGAAATTTCAGACCAGCTATTTTTTCAAGTGTTTTTTTTTAATGTGGAGTAAGAATTTGTTTAAGTTTTCACGGTTTCACTACAATGGAAAAAACGCATTTTGCTGCAAAAAATCATATTTATTTGTTCCATTTTGGGAGATTCGTGAAAAGGAAATTTTTCGCATGTACATCTCAATTTAATTTCCAATTTCTGAAGAAAATGATGGAATATTTGGGGTTGGAGTTTTTTCACCAAATTAACTTCGACTTCAACGTGTTTTCTGCGTAGCGTCTGTCGTAGAAATTTCAAAAAATTAAAAGTATTTTTTTACAAATTTTTGTGAATTTTTTCAAAAAATTATATGTTGTTTCATGGAAAATTATTCAATAGACCTTGATTGGTAGTCGTAACACTCAGATTTTTGCCCTGACACGAGCAGTCTTGTTTCAATTAGAAGTCAGCTCTCTTACAAGAGTTATTAGCAGTTTTTATTGTTACAATTATTAGAGCTTTTATAATTTGAAGAATCGAAACTGATAGATTTAAAAATGTTAAATTGTTAATCGGAGCGATGATAATTGTGTTGATTCATGTTAATTAGTTTTTCGGTAGAAAGTTTTCCGTGAAAAAAATTAGCCTGAATGAAATATAATATCACGCCTGAATAAATCTGATCACTCCAATTTACCTCTAAGACTGGTCAATAAGGACAAAAAACTGTTCGTGACCTGAAATGTTTTCGCCAAAGCTATTTTTCACCCTATTGAATTTTTACTTGCTTTTCGGTTCCACATTTTCTAGCGAAGAACAGCCTGAAAATGGTGAGTTAAGTTTTACTGAATGACAGAGCTACAATTTTTGAGATAGAGCTACAAGAGTTGTGACTTTTAAGACTCAAAATGGGTTTGCTTAAACGATTACTTTAAAAATCGAGTCAGGAGGTCAGATGTCCCAATCCGCAAAAGAGCATCAGATGGGTTTTAAAAACTCATTATAAATTTTTGTAAATCTTTGCTATTAGTTGACGCCAGTGAACTACCTGATGAAGAGCTATCACCTGAAAAGGACGAAGAAGATGAAGTGCAATCATCGCAGCCGCCCGTGACCGATGCTGACAACGGAGCGAAAACCGACACCACTAGCGCCGACAAAATCGAGGACGAAGACAAAATCGAGGAAGACGACAAAATCGAGGACGAAGACAAAATTGAGGACGACCAGACCAGAGAGGGTAAAAACGAGAAGAAAGAGACAAAAGAAGACCAGGGCGGTTCATCAATTTCTACTGGAATGATAATCGGATTCTGCATCATCGGTTTTCTAATCACTGGACTAATTATTATTTTTTGTCTTCGACTGTGGTGCGTGAAGAAGGCTGAACGGGATACCTACTGAGAAAAAAATTAATGATTTACTCTAGTTTTCATTCTGTTCTTAGTTTCCACTTGAAATATTCTGTTGGTATGTTTGATCTCTAATAAAGGGATGTTAACTATTACTTTTTATCACTGCACAACAACATCAGAAAACACGATCAACTGAGTAATTCCTTTTCTCCGACCTACAACGCACAACGAGGGTTTTTAAAGCTAATTGAATGCAATTTTTAGTCCTTTCCCTAAGTCCCCTTTTCTCAGGGACCAAATAAGCAATAGAGTCGTTGGTAAAAATGGCGAGCCACAACAAGGCATTTATGAAACATATGGGTAATCAGTGTGCAAGGAGATAATGCAATTCATTAATTAATCAAAGGTCTCGAGGGGGAGAAAAACGTCCACCTCAACCACTCCACACCCCTTCCCCTTCCAAAAAACAAATGAACCCCTGAAGCTACTAATGTTTTTCCTACGCAGGGACAAGAAAAGTGCTTCGTAAACACTAAGAATGTTTTCTTAAGTTTTGATTTGCTTGGTCAGTAAATCTTTCGATATAAGCCTTTTAATTGCTTTTTTTTGCTATCTAGTTTTGTAACTTTATTCTATAAAGGTTTCCATCCAGCACCTTAATAATAGTAAAGTGCATCAGTTTTGCCATTAAAAGGGGATCAACCATGGGAAGTATTGATCTCGCTGATTCCCGCAAGAAATTACTTTTGATTTGTTTTGTGAAACCCCGCCGATTGATTCCAGGAGATTTCTTTTACCCGAGCGATGCCTCTTCCTCTCCAACAAACAAAATGAATTTTGACGCCCCCGAAACAGGATTTAAGAATTGCAAGTGAACTGTACCACCTTCTTTAAACTTCATGACCAAATTTTTTCATTGACATTTTTTTGAGTCATACTTCATTAATAGTTTCAAAATCCATGTATAAGTCATAGAAATCCTGAATCAATTCTTATTTTTCTATTATTGGTTAATTGATTGAAGAAGTTGACAAAAACGATTGTGTACTAGAGCGGTCTCTTTTTTTCGACCTTTCAACTATTAATTTTGGGCGTCAGTATTTAAAACTATCTTGAAGACTTTAATGTCCTGAGGTCAAAGTTGAAAAGATACTTTTTCTGCATTGCCTTCTCTATTCGTTCCTTTTTTGTTCTTTTCTGCTCTTTCGGTTTCCACCCCGAAAGGATTGCCAAACAAATGATTTATTTGGATCCAAATCAATATCAAACGCTAGTCCTTAATGTCGGGAAAGTCAAATGAAGCAACGCTATTTTCAAACAGTGTCATTTCTCAAAGTGGTTCTTCTTTTTTGAAGTTTTTTTTCCTCATAAATCTGAACAAAATGGGTTTGATGAAACAAATTTTTCAAACTATTCAGGGTCTTCTTTTTTGCTTGTTTGATATGTTCAGATTTTTGAAAAAAAATCTGTTTCACTGAAATATTATTAAGCTTTGTACAATTAGCGCACGAAACCCAGATTTAAAAAACCGATGCCATAGACTTGAGGGTTGATTATTTCGAGATTGATTTTTCGGTTTTTATTTAACTGCATTATCCTTCCCGGATTGGTCTGCCAGTAATAATCAGTAATGTTCTATACTCTTGTTTTTATGTCACTGTTTTTGTCTAGGAACAGTACTGTCCCGGGTTGACCTCCATACACCGAAAATGCTTATCATACAATTCCATACATTAAGTGTGTGGGAAAATGCTTGTCATACAGTTTTCATACAATTTCTAAAAATGGTTGAAAACTGGTATAAACTCGTTTCTGTGGCTGTTTGATTCTAATAAAACAGTCTGGTGATAAAAACTGAGGTTTTCGTTTTTTGAAAAAAAATACAATGCAAGACCGGCCAACTTTTGGTGTTTTGAGTAACCAAGGTCTGTGTCACTTGTGTTCGGTTGCAACTACAACCGAAAATTTTTCAGAAACTAAATTTAGAAAGAAAAAATCAAACTTTCTGGTTTATGGAAAAACACACTATCATACAATTTTCATATATAGAAAAATGCTTATCATAGAGTTTTCATACAATTTTCTGTACGTATGGAATTGTATGAAATTGTATGACAAGAAGTTTCTCATATATGGAAATTATATGATAAGAAGTTTTGGTCAACCCGGGAATGTTTTTTGTTTGAAATTTTTAGAAGTTTTAGATCAGTTGTCTATTTTTGTTTGGTGTCATTGTTTTGAATTCAACAGTGATGTTACGGTGTTGATTTATCTCTGCAACAGTGCTGCTACAGTGCTGATTTATCTCTGTAAGAGTGCTGTTACTGTGCTGATTTAGCTCTGTAACAGTGCTATTACAGTGCTGATTTATCTCTGTTACAGTGCTGTAAAAGTGCTGATTTATCTCTGTAACAGTGCTGTTACTGTGCTGATTTATCTCTGTAACAGTACTGTTACTGTGCTGATTTATCTCTGTAACAGTGCTGTTACTGGGCTGATTTATCTCTGTAACAGTGCTGTTACAATGCTGATTTATCTCTGCAACAGTGCTGTTACAGAGCTGATTTATCTCTGTAACAGTGATGTTACAGTGCTGATTTATCTCTGTAACAGTGCTGTTACAGTACTGGTTTTCACAGCAAGATCAATCGGGTTGAAACTAAAAGTTCTTTGCTGGTTTTTTTAATACTTGTGCAAATAACTTCGATGAATGATAGAGGGCTCTGATTGATTAAAGATAGCAGCTAGGTTCTAAAAGCTATCAGTCCTAAACTTTAAACTATATTCATTGGCAGCTTTCGAAATGGAACCACAAAGTCTCAAGTTTGTTTTTATCAATAGCTTTACGTATGGATGAATCTATTGCGTGCTCAATTTTTCGAAACAAAAAATATGGAAACAAAAATAAAATCATAAACTGTAACTGGGTTTTTTTTTCAATATATATACAACCACAAATGAGTTGGAATTCAAAACTTTATCAAGCTTCCGAAGTAAGATAGAAAAATTTAGATAGAAGTACGCTATAAAAACCAAAAAAAATTACAAAAAATGAAGAAAAAAAAACAAGAAATGCTCTCATTTCACTTTTTTAGCTTCGTATTGTAGGTATTAGGACTTTTTAGAGTAGCATTAAAAAATTCTGTGGTATTCAAACTGACCACACTTGTTTATACTTTCGTTCTCAAGGAAACTCACCTAATATTGGAGTCTCAGTCAGACAAATTTGCTAGTCACATCGTTCCAGAGAACAGCAAAAAACAACAATTTTAGATGATTCATTTTTGTAAGCTTCATTTTCTTAAAGCCACTGTTTGCTTAGACAGTTTTTGAACAAATTTATTTAATTAAATATTTATCATGATCGTTATCTAACTGCCCGGGTTGACCTCCATAGAACAAAAATGCTTATCATACAATTCCATACAAAAAAATGACTACCATACAATTCCATGCATGGTTTCCATGGAAAAAATGTTTATCATTGGATTTCAATTTATGAAAATTGTATGATAAGCATTTTTTCGAGAAAAAAAATTTTAGACGCGAGACAAAAAATTTTTCTAGTAGTTTTGAAAATTTGCCCCAAAATTTTTTTAGTGTTTTTTTTTTCAACCGCAAATCAAATTTTCTACGCAAACAAACTTTTTCCGAAAAAAAATTTTTTGCATGCAAAATTTAATTTTTGTGTGCATAACGTAGTCCTGGATACGATAATATTGGCTTTTTTCTTTTCACTTCAAATTTTTTTTTCAAAAACGCTGAAAGTTTCTATTTCTTTTATATGGCGTGTTTATGTATGCCTTGATCAATGTCTCATAATTTGCCAAAAATTAAAAGTTTGTTACTTTTGTTATATCTTTTGTGAAAGACAGCTCGAAGACAATTCAGATCGTTTTCTATGCATTGTAAAAGCAAAACCGTCCAACCTTTGGTGCTTTGAG